TTGATGCAGCCTAGAATCGCATTGGCCTTTTTAGCTGCTGCATCACACGGTTGACTCATGTACAACTTGGGGTCTACTGGGACTCCTAGATCCCTTTCACATGTACTGTTGTCAAGCCAGGTATCCCCCACCCTATATTGGAGAAGAGATACGCAAGTGATATCAGTTTCATACCACTTTGATTGTCCTGCTCCCTTGCTATGGAAACCTGAGATTTGTAGTTTTGTGAGATTTTTAATAGTAATAATGTAATTCAAGGGAGTTCACCAAAGGATTTCTAAGAACCTCTTCACAATACAGATCCAAGGATTGCACAGGATGGAGCCATGGCTGTTAAAGTGGGATCAAAATGCTATAATTGTGCAGTGCGGAGATGCCTTTAGACAACCACAGGATTCTGTCCTCTTCCTGTGGGCTTTCAGCCTCATTTTATAACAGACTGTTGATAGATCTCATATGAAATCAGACATCCTTCTTTTTCTTTCAATTCATTATACGGAAAAGGCAAGGCACAGCAATGCATCTTCTGCTGTTTCATTCACTGTCTGTGGAAAACCCTTCACACAAAAGGATTTTCTTCAAATGACCATGAAACATGTTTGTCTATTTTAATCTTACACCAAGACAAAAAACACTTTATGGAAAGGCAAGAAATCCAGGTCTTGAACTTCCTTTGTGTGAATGCCTTTGCTTTGCCATAAAATGCCCTAAAGGCAACTCAGCATTTAAAGGCAAATAAAAGGAATAATAACAAGCAGCAGAAAAAGAGGACAGCGGAGCTGAAATCCCACTGGAAGCAACTGTTTCCCAGCAAAACTAGAACAATAATCCTTCAAAGGTTTTAGCAGTCCCTATAGGAGATTTCAAAGGGAAGAATATTTGGGAGGATCCTGTTAGAAGATATTAGAGAAAAATCCTGGACAGCTCCCTGAAAGCAAAATGCATACTATCCAAACCAGGAAACAAAAATACAGGTTGAGTCTCTCTTATCCGAAATGCTTGGGACCGGAAGTGTTTGGGATTTGGGACCTTTTCAGATTTTTGGAATATTTCCATATACCTAATGAAATAATCTAGAGATGATGGGACCCAAGTCTAAAAAGAAAACTCCTTTATCTTCCATATACACTTTACACGCATAGCCTGAAGGTACTTTTATATACTATATTTTCAGATATTTTTTCCCCTATCTGAGTCAGGATTCGCACTCTGGTCTCCCAGAGTCCTAGTCCAATACTCGAACCCCTGCGCTCTGCTGGCTCTCATCCATGCGCTCTGTTCTTAGGCTTATAAGCC